TTATTAATAGTAATGAAGCAATTGCTTGGGCTATTAAACAGTGTACTGAGTACTATCTATGATTTGAGTCAATTTCTGTAACAAATTTAAAAATGAATAAGTACCAAAAACTATAAAACACAAAAAACCATCGTCATCACCAAGTTCTCTAAAACTATCATTCACTAATATTTGTGGTATTCAGAGTAACTTTTCTTCTGTTGAGTCTCATCTCTAGCAAAGTTCACCAGATCAACTTCCTTTTTGTGTGACTAATTTGAGTTCAGCTGTCTCATCTTGTGATCTTAGTGTCGATGGCTATCTTCCTTTAATTTATAAACTCCAATAGTCACATGCTTGGCCTGAGCATTTACATTCATAAGAATTCACCCATTTGTTGGGAAAATAGGTTTGAATCCACAGACTGTTCTTTTATGTGCTTTCCTTTAGCACCACTTCACTCTATCGCCTGTCTCCTTGTTCTATGTTGCTCTCCTTCATCTTAATACTGCACTCTATTTAATATTATCATCAAAGAAGTTTTGGGTTACAACACAAACATGCATACAAAGTAACTTGCGGATGAACAAGCACCGCGTCTGAGGTCACAACAAAACACACAAATATATATAGCAAGTTATTAGATATAAAGAAAAGTTTCTAGATATTGGTTAACTAACTCTAATTATTTTTAATTCAGTTGCCATTCTTAAAAACTCACTATACTTTTTTCTACTTTAAATACTAATTAAAATTAAAAAGCCCACTAACTAAACATCATCAGCAATATTGTGAAGCAATTTGGCTTCCTTGTCATAAAGTATTTTTTAACCTTTTTGGTTGATTTCTATCTAATTAATTTAATTACTATAGTAAGTCAATGATTTAATTATTTCATTTGTTTATAGTAAGATAAACAAGAATAATTGTTTCAAATATGTTAAACTTTAAAGAAAAGAAGAATTGTTTCAAATATGTTAAACTTTTTAAACTAGGCAAAGTAATAGTTATTTAAAAATTAACTTTTTTATTTATAATATAATTTAGCTTAGATAAAACTAAAACTTACGTTAGTTTTATTAGAATCTTGTTAGATTTTTTGGGGCCGGAGCTATTTTTATTTTGGATGCCTTTTTATATGCCACAGCGTAAAAATGACTTAACAAAAAGGTGTTCTTGACTTTTTTTGGACCCTAACAACGCAGGGCCTGGGGCTATAGCCACCTCTAACCCCAACCCTCCTTAATCTAGTACTGGAAATAAGACACAAGTATATAAATAAAAATTATATTACACTCTTTGTTAAATGAAGAACATTTGTTTCCTTTTTAAACAATCGTAAGTTACTTTAATTAAACGTCGCTTAATTAAAAAAAAAATTGTAAAAGAGCAATGTTTTGAAAATATTTGTTCTAAACGTAATTTATTTTGCTTCAAGTTTTTTTGCGTTAAAAGATATTCTACTTTCCTAATTTTTTTTTTTTTTTTTTTGTAATTTTCTCTTATTTAATTATGTGAGAAAGAAATAATTAATGACTCCAATTAATCTTTTGCACAATTTTGCACTAAAAAATCTAGCCTTTGTGTAGCCATTTCCATGGTCAGTAATCGATAGCGATAGCTCCCGCTTCCCGACCAAGCCTGCTACAAACTTCATCTTTTCTCTTCCAGTAACTTCTAACTCTAATTACTGGTTGCTTGCAACCTTGTTTAAAGCAATGTTAAATAAAATTAAAAAAAACATTAGTTAGTTGTACTGACTAACTGTATATTACATAGATGAGTATTTGACTTAATGAAAATCCTGGAAATTTTTTTAAATGAAAATCCCGGAAAATTATTTTATTAAAAATTGATTGTATTAACTGAAAACAAAAACTTTTGTAAACTTTTAAAACGGAATTTAGATTATTTTACTTTTTCAAAAAGAAATTTCTTATATTCGAAAAAGTTAATTTGAACAAATTTAAAAGAAAAAAAAAAAAGAAAAAAAATTGTTACAAAAATTGATTTCGTGAAAATTTTAATTATAGAAAACATTTGTTTTAATGCAAATGTTGTCGTTTTTAAAATTTTATGTAAAAATTTATATATTTTTTTAAACAAATTAATAAAAAAAAGCATCCGCAAATTTCTTGCTTTCTTACTATGAAAGTTATGAAATTGTAAACTGTTTTTTTCTTGAAGATTAAGGGGCAAGTTTTTAATTTTTTTGTTTTTTTTTTTGTTTAGGTAATGAAAAGATTTTTAAAAAAGCACTAAAACTTATAGATTTGCTAAGTTTTAAATTAACAAATCTTGGTACGGTTGTGGTGTAGTGGTAGAGCGCTCGCTTCATAATCAAGAAGTTCCAAGTTTGACCCACAACACATCCATAATAGTATTGCGCTAAACTTGTTTCTTTGCACAGTAGCATTGTTTATAAAGGTTTATGTTTTATTAAAGAGCTTAGAGAGGGTTGTAACCACAATAAAGCAGCCTCCTCAACTGTAATGGCCTTTATGGCTTTGGGGAGGTGAATAACATAAAATAATTATTTAAAAATAATAATTAACTACTTAGAAAAAAAAATCAACTTTTATGGTAAATTGAATAGTTTTAAAAAAATTTTCATGTCCATAAAGACTACAAAGATACGAAACATTTTTATAGGATTTCATAATACAGTTTAACCCTATGTTTTTATGGGATTTCATAACACAGTTTAACCCTATGTTTTTATGGGATTTCATAACACAGTTTAACTCTATGTTTTACACAGTTTATAATCGTAACATAGCCTGCTATATTATACTTAACTTAATAAATCAATTATGGGAGTTATCTTTAATGTGAAAAGCTGTGAATACATTTTATGTATTCACAGCTTTTCACATTAAAGATTTAAATCAATAAAAAAAATTCTACAAATTTATTTGCTAATAATTTATAAAAACTACCTTCTATTTCTAAATCTTTTGCATATTCATCTCCATACCAAACAAGAAACTCCTTTCCTTTTTCAACCTGTTTATAAATTCGATAATAAATTTCACCTTGACAATGAAAAGCTTCAAGATTTTGCTCTGCCTCATACCGTGAACAGTTTATATACCTCATCCAATTAGCATATCGCTCATCCTTCCCATCTATATAATACACATCAACTCCATCTTTCATAACCTAAATGTATAATAAAACAAATTTTTTTTTTTTTTTTTTTTTATTTAACCATATCAATAAAATTTACAAATTTCATCGTAAATTAATATAAATTGGTTAGGTGTCACTCATATAGTTACAAACTAGTCAATGGAGTGACACCTAAAAAACATAAAAATTTCACGAAAAAATAAATAAATAGAAAGAAAAAAAAAAAAAAAGGAAACTAAAGTAATTAAAACAAAACAAAACAAAAAAAAAAAAAAAAAAAAAAGAAAAAACAAAAAAAAAAAAAAAAAAAAAGGAAAAACTCAATATCTGTATATATAAATAATAAAGAAAAGAAGAAAAGATTGTTAAACAAATAATAATGATATATGTAATAATAATAGTAATAATACAAAATAATAACAATAACAATAAAGTACCAATAATATTAAGAATATTATAATACAATATAAATTGTATGTACAAATCATAGATGATAATTAGATATAATAATAAAATAAAATGTAACATTAATAAAACAATAATAAATAAATATAAGATTGGTAAATAATAAATAAAATAAAAATCAAACCACAAGACAACTATAGTACAGAGAGAAATTATAAAGAAATACACTCCAACAATATATTTTTAAATTGAATTCTGTTGAGCAGTAAACAATTCGTAACAAGTGGATATTTTTTCTTAGACTTTTTTGTTAATGCAGGAATATACTGGTTCCATTGAGAGATACATTGTTGTTTTATGGAAAACTTACCATATTTGATTGTGATGAAAAAAGAATAGTATAGCTTACTATTTTCTGTATTCCTGGTGTGATGATTATGAACTTCGTTTGTTTTAATAAAAAATTTTGAAAAAGGGCTTGGTAGTTTATTTTGGAGAAAGTCAAACACAAAAAGACAATTGTAAAACTTTACAAGATTATGGAGTTTTAGGATTTTTAGTTCAGAAATTTTTTTTTCGATATCAGATCTCATTGGGGAAAACGTCATTATTCTAATAGATGCGCGTTGTAAACTAGCAATGTTGTTAAGTAAAAAGTTTCTTTTTTGACCCCAAACAATACAACAATAGCAAAGGTGAGAAGAGAATAAAGAAAAATAAATCATTTGAAGAGTTTGGATAGGAACATAGTAACGAATTAGAGAAAACATACTGTTAGCTCGTGTAAGTTTATTTTTTAGATGATACAGTTGATTATACCAAGATAGGTTTTCATCAAGATATATTCCAAGATACTTTATATATTTTGATGGAAAAAGTTTTTTACCGTTAATTTTAATTTTAATATGATCAACAGTTTTTTGAGGGGAATGAAAAATAATGTATTCAGTTTTATTGACATTCAAGGAAATACGGTTACTATTTAACCAGTTACATAAGCGATGAAGATCTTGATTAACTTTTTTACAAATAGTCGTGAGGGATTTGTTGATATATAAAAGATTGGTATCGTCAGCATAATGATGTATCATAGAATTTTTTAAGGAACAAGATAAATCATTTATATATAATAAGAACAACAACGGTCCAAGATCGGAACCTTGTGGAACGCCATATTTAATAACTTTATGTGTGGATTCAAATCCATTAATTGAAACAAACTGAGTGCGATCCGTAATATATGAAGAAAACCAATGATTAGCAATACCACGTATTCCGTAGTAGTTTAACTTTTTTATTAGAATGTTGTGATCAACCGTATCAAAAGCTTTTTGAAGATCTATGAATACACCACAAGCAAAAGAACCACTGTCAATTGCACCACGAATCATTTCAGTAATGCTAATAAGAGCGTGAGAAGTGGAGTGATTTGAGCGAAACCCAAATTGTCGAATATGAAAACAAGCAGAATTATTTAAAAAGTTGTAAATACGAGAATACATAAGTTTTTCTAAAAGTTTGCTGACATTTGATAATAATGAAATTGGTCTGTAGTTATTACGTTCAAGTTTTGAGTCTTTTTTATGAATTGGGATAACAGAAGCAGTTTTTAAAATATCAGGGAATACACCGGTTGTGAATGACAGATTAAATAGTTCAGAAAGTACAGGAGAGATATCATTTGCAAGAGCTTTAAAAATAGGTATTGGAATGCTATTAGGTCCAGAAGCCTTGCTGTCATTAAGAGAATGAATAATCAATAATACTTCGTTTTTGTCTGTAGGTTTTATGAACATTGAATTAAGATTAGGATTTTTAAGATATTTATTAAAGTCAGTATTGGATGAGTGGATCTTATTCTGTAAATCTTCCGGAACTGAAACAAAAAATGAATTAAAAGATTCCGAAATTTTAATGGGGTCGTGTATCATGGAGTTGGTAGAAGATAAGCATGAAGGAGATGAGTTAACTCTCGAACTAATGTTTAAGAGGTTCTTAATACCATTCCATGTAGATTTCAAATTTTTGGCATTGTCAGAGAAGAACTTAGAGTAATGGTTTTTTTTACTACGACGGGTGAGAGTAACAAGTAAGTTTCTATATGCTTTATAAGATTTTTCTAGATTGAGTTTGTTATTAGGATTCTTTGCTTTAAGAAATTTTTTAAATATTTTATTTCGCATTTTAATAGAAGTCAAGATTCCTCGTGTTATCCAAGGTTTGAGACCCCTTGATAAGCAACGATTGCTGACTTTTTTCAATGGTGCATGTTTATCTAAAAGAGAATTGAAACTTGAGAAAAACTCTTCAAATGACTTATTAGTCTTACCTTCGTTGACATTAATTACATTAATCCAGGTAATTTTTGAGAAATCACTACATAACTCGACGCAATTTATTTGTTTTAGATTTCGACGAAAAATGCAGCTTTTACGAGAATTAATTTTGGTTCTATAAAGAGGATGTATTAAAAATTGGGGCAAATGATCTGATACCGTAGAAGTAAAATTACCGGCAAAAATATTTGTAGAAGTTGCATTAGAAAATATGTTATCAATTAGAGTTTTGGAGTGATTTGTGATTCTTGTTGGCAATGAAATAAAGGGAAGAAAGTTATTTAAAGCAATAGTGTCTAAAAATTCAGAGACAGAATTATCTGAGTTTGCTAATAAAAGATCGACATTAAAATCGCCTATTAAAAAAGTAGTTTTGTTTTTTTCCATAGATAACTTTTCAAAAAGTGGAATTAAATATGATTTAATAAATTCTGAAATATCCATACTAGGATGGCGATAAATACAGCCAATAATGATGTTTGATTTTTTAGGAAATATGATTTCCACAAACACAGATTCTAAAAGTTTTGGTTTAAGCATATTAAGGTCATATCGAAGTTTGTAAATTAATGTATTCGATATATAAAGTAAAGCTCCTCCAAAATAAGATTTTGTTGGAGTGTGCTCATAAACATAACCGGTAAGATTTAATGGGATAGTTGGTAAAATGTCATGTTTTAGTTTAGTTTCAGTTATGCCAATAATACTGAATTTATGATTAATAAGAGATAAAAGTGAGTTTAATTCGTCAAAATTTTTAACAAGAGAAGCAATATTTAAATGAAAAAGAGAAAAATTATTTTTGTCGATGCTAGAAGAGTTAAAACTTTCTATGTCCATATATTTACAATTAATAGGGTATTCTTCGAGGTTTACGTCATTGTCATTGTTGTTATTAAGTTGATGGGAAATAAAATCATTAAGTTCATTATAAAGATTAGGCTGTACGGTGTTTGGGAAAGATGATATGTTGTTTTCGAATTCATTAATATGAATCACTTTATCATTTATTGTTTGCAGGTGCAGCTCCTTATCTGATAAAGTACTGAATGGAAAAAATTTTTCCCTACATGAAATACAGAACCAAGATGTTTTAGAGTTTTTCAATATTCTAAATTCAATATCATTCAGACGACAACATTTTTTATGAAAAAGGTTTAGGCAATGATAACATTGAAGGTAGTGATGGTTTTTATTAATTTTCTTGAAGCAATCTTTGCAGTGAGTAGACATTTAAGTGGTACAGTTTATATAATAAAATGATTGAATGAACTGAAATAAGGAAACAAAGAGTAATATGAACAGCAATATAACCAAAAATAATAAAAATAATAATAGTATTTATTAACAATATAAATATAATTCAATTGATAAAATAGTAAAACAAAAATAATATTTATTTAACAGTTAAAATAAATAATGAAAAAATACTATTAATATAGTAAAAGAAGAATAACGTAAATATATATTAAAAAAAAGTTATAATTGGTTAAATGATAAGTTGTAAGTATAAATTAAAACAATTTATATTAAAATAATAATAAATTATAAATGATTATAAGTAAAATATTATAGTTATAATAAGTGGAAAATATAATAATAAACTATTAAGTCTATGCTTAGTATTATAAGTTAATAAGTAAAGCTATAGTAACTAAGCTAACAAACTATATAGATATATAAAAATAATAATAGTAATAATACTAGTTGCAATAATAACTATTATAATAACAATAATAATTAACTAAATAACAATAAATGCAGGATAGAAAAATTTTTATGAAATTTCTCTTTTCTTTGCAAATTAACAGAGAAAGACGATGTTTTTACTTTGTTTAAACAATTTAAAATAATGAAAGCCTACGCTTTAGTTTAATCTGTTGTAAAATATATTTACAATTTTTTAAAAATATGTTTAAATTAAATTGGCCAGTGAAGGAGTATCTTGGAAAATTTAATATAAAATAACAAAAAAAGCCCCCCTACCCTCTCACTTATTTTGTTTAAGTTTGATTAACCTAGTTTAATCATCAAAATAAGAATTGTTTGTTCTAATATAAAATCCAAGAGTCGGATGTCTTTTTTGACCCAAATATTTCTATTTTTTCTAACATAACTCATAATTTATTACTAAGGAAAATAAAAAACCAAAAAATTTGCAAATATAATAAATTGTATACTGAGAATAGTTAAAACACTTTTTTCCATTAAATAGACATGTTGTTATAAAACATTATTTTTAAATTTATTTTATTATCTGAATGTTTTTATCTTATAATATTATATTAGCTTGTTTCAGAGATCATCTTGGTTATATTAAAAAAATCCAAAAAACATTTTGCAAAAAAAAAAAAAAATCCAGAAAAAATCTAGTAAACTTTCCCCTTCTTATTTGTCTTAATTTAACTTTAAACTAATGGCTTTTTCAACTTTTTTCAACTTTTTTTTCTCTTTTGTATCGGTAATGATTTAAAAAGTTAAAAAACATAAATATTGCAAAACATTTAAACTTGTGTTATTGGAAAACATTTTGGAAATCCGGAAAAACTAAAAAAAAAGTTGAAAGAAATATCTGAAATTCCGGATACACTTGGAAAAAGATAATCCCTGTTGTTTTAATTGAAGGAAACAAAATAATATAGTAAAAAGTATTATTTATGTTTGTAAATTTATTTATTACTACAATTGTTATATTTACACGTGCAAAGGTTTCTGGCCAAATTGTGTTATTAGAAAAATTATTGGGCCACATGTTCTTTATTACAATTAACTACTTTTATATTAATATTTTGTAGCCTCTTTGCAGTAATAATAGCTGCACAACAATGTGGCATTGACTTTTAATCCTATTCTTTCTTCAATGGTTAGAATGATGTGGTTTTATTTGATTGCTTTTCAATAATTAGAATGATGTGGTTTTATTTGATTGCTTTTCAATGGTTAGAATGATGTGATTTTATTTGATTGCTTTGGTTTTATTTGATTGCTAGGAATGCTTTTCTCTAATACTGAATAGGAATACAGCTTTATTTGAATAGGAAACCATTTCCCATAACTGTTCCATTGTCTGGTGATTGAGATAAGTGAGCTATATTAAAACTCTCTATTTGAAGCCTAAAACCACTGTTTTAACAATTTGGATGTTTGTTTGGGATCATTATCAAGCTAATATATATAACTTTGCAGCATTGTTTCTTCAGCATACAACAAGAATTATTTTATGTACTTGTAAATAGAAGTGTTCATGTTTACTTTGATCTCAACCAGTTGATAGTTGAGATAAATTTTAGGTATCTCTAGTTTTCAATATAAAACAGACGAACTTTGGTTTGAAATTAACTAAAAAGCCATTGGTTTTATTTAATTTTAGAAAAAGGTCACCATCCATGACCCTTGATTACACACTTCTATATATCAGTAAATTTTTTTTTCTTCAATAGTATATCAACCTGGGTCTTGAAAAGAATCTGAATTTTATAGTGATTTCAAAATTCATCATCTTTTTATGAAAACATTAATAAATAAAAATTGCAAGCAAAATGTCATAAAAAACGACTTTTTCAATTTTTAGTTAAAATTTGTTTTTTGTTTTTTTTTATAAAAAGTTTAAGCAATTAAAAGCATTATTTGAAAGCATTATTATTTCAGAAATCTCTATGAAATTGTGGTTCTTTTGAGACCCAGGTTGATATACTTTTGAAAAGTAAAAAAAATTCACTGATATATGGGAGCCAGTGTATAATCAAGGATCATGGTAGATGACCTTTTTCTAAAATTAAATAAAACTAATGACTTTTCAGTTACTTTCAAACCAAAGTTCATCTGTTTTTTATATTGAAAACTGGAGTTACCAAAAAATCACATCCCTAATTTGTCTATTTGCGCAGAGAAAATTCTCCAAACCATCACACTTTATCGAACATGTTTTACAGTTGGAATTTGTAAACAAACTTCACTTCTCATGCTAATTGGATGTTGTAGATCCAATTGGCACAAGACGAATTAATTTAGATTCATCTGAGAAAGCTACTTTTTTCTAATCTTTGATTGTTCAATTTAGGTGAATTGTAACAGGGCCTTCTTGTTTTTTTTTATTGATATATGGTTTTTAATACCAATACAACCAAAATTTTTCCACGCCACTGTATATATGTTTATACACATATAAATATATATTTTTTCTATTTGTTTTCTATATTTCATGCTAACATCTTATAGCAATTAAAAACCATTAGTCATTTTAAAAAATAAATTAGAGTGCAAAATGCTACTAGATGAAAACTTTTGCATAGCACTGTATATATGCCTATTATGTATATATACATAATATATACATAATATGTATTGTATATGTATTCCTATAATACTCTTTTATAATATTAGGCATTAACTCTAAAACTCTATGATTTGAAAATAATAGTTTATCAAAATTATTATAGCTTTAATTAAAATTTTACTTTTTTACTTTATAGTCAAGATAAGTATGCGCCTAGAAATTCTTCATGCATTACTGCATATATTTCATTTTACAAAACTTTTGTGTTTGTTAAAACTGGAGCTTTTGAATAGCTTGATTCTCCCATCAGGCCAGGCAAGGCCAAATTTGCTTTTAATATTGCACATAGCTTAAGAACTACTCACTGTTACAACTACCTCACAAAAAATGAAACAACGATTTAACTTCAGCAAAACCATAAGTAAAAATTTTCAAAAAAAAAAAAATTTTTATAATTTTCGATTTTAAATACTTCAATATTTTAGAGTGAGACTTTTTTAAGTTTCTCAGAAATTGTTTCTCAATTATTCTCAGTTTGAATATTATTCTTGTTTGAATATTTTTCTCTAAAACTAAAGTAGATCAATAAAAAAAAATGCACAGATTTTTATTTATTCTTAGTTTCCTACACTACAAAAAGATATTCTTCTTATAACATACTAATAAAAAATTTTCAACTTAGTTTAATCACTAGATACTTTGTTAAAAAACATTCCAAGAAAAAAACCATGAGAAGAGGGAAATTTAAAAGTTTAAGTGATAACTTTTACCTATAGCAAGCCTTCCCAGAAAAGGCATGCGGTTTTTCGCCTTGACCACATGCAAGTATATTATTTTAGAAAACTTGAACATGGCCGCTCACAAGTTTTAAAATAATGCTGAAAAAGTTTCAAAAAAAAAAATAAATAAATAAAAATAAAAAGAGATTGAAATAGAAAAAAATAAAAAACAAATTAGTAATTTAAATAAACTGTTTTTATTTCTGTTTCTTTAAAGTGGTTATTACATTCAGCAACAAAATTAGATAAGGCGAAGTAAAAAAAACAACAGTTTGAAGTCTACAATAAAAAGAATGATTTTCCTTTTCTAAATTTTTTTTTAAGAGGAAAGCAAAAATACAAATTGCAATGTGTTTGTAAAATTTATTTGTATAATTTTAATGTAACAGCAAGGGTTGAATTAAGCAAATGTGAAACGCAAAATCTGGAAAAATATATAGTATTCAAAATTTTAGTTTATACAAAACCATGTTCCTTGTTTTTAAGGGGAGAATCAAATTTGTTAGCAAAAAAATAAAAAATAAAGCAATAAACTTATGATTACAAAAGTAATAACACTCTAGTCACTAACTGCATTACAAAAGTAATAACACTATAATAGTGTTATTACTTTTATAACACACTTATAACTTTTAAAATTCATTCTTTGTTCAAGCAACATTAGTATTCCCAAAATTTAACTGAAGTAAAAAAATATCTAAGAAATAAAGTGGATGTTCAAATAATATTAACTTATAAAAACGTGACAAACAACGTTATAAAAATGTATCGTATTAAAAGTTTACCATTATGAAAAACATTACTAAAGGACCGTAAAAACGTGCGTTAAAATTAAAAATAACCAATAAAAATTTTTTATTGGTTGATTTTAAAATTAACACGGGTTTTTACGTAATGTTTTTTTTCATAATGCTATACTTTTTATAAAGTACTTTTTTATAACGTTGTTAAAGTAATCTGAAATTTTTAATAATATTTGAATATCCGGTTTATTTTTTCTAGATGCTTTTTTACTTTAATAAATGTTTGGAATTAATAATGATGTTTGAACAAATAATGAACTTTAAAAGTAATAAGTGCTTTATAAAAGTAATAACACTATTATAGTTTTATTACTTTTATAATGCAGTTAGTGACTAAAGTATTATTACTTTTGTAGTCGTTAGTTTATTACTTTTGTTTTGTTTTTTGTAACTTTCTCACTAGCAAACTTTTAATAATTTGCTCCTTATAAATATAGTACACAGCTTTGCAAGAACTAAAATTTTAAAGACCTAATACTTTACCAGAGTTAGCAAATCGCGATCGTATAGTTTAACTCTTGATATAAACTTGTTACATTATAATTATACAAAGATATTTTAAAAAACAGATGGCGATACATATTTTCTCTTTCATCCTTAAAAGCAAAAACACATAAAATATGGGAAATTCATCCTTTTTAACGCCTAAAACCGTTTTTATTTTTTTTGCTTTGACTGAATTTGAATGCCGATAAATTATTCAAACTATTAGTATTGTTTTCTATTTAAGTTTACTTTAACTTCTTAAGTAGTTATTAAATTTAAAACAATTTTTCAGCAATGCATATAATAAAACTTGTGCAAATGGCCGTGATTATGTTCTCTAACTTGAAAAACATTTTTGTGGTCGTACGAGACGAAAAACAGTACGCCTTTCCTGGGAAGGCTTGTACAGTATGCAACACATACTTGTTTATTTGGGTTTTAAAATCATTTACAAAACAATTGTAAATACTTTAAAATCATTTTTTTTTTTTTTTACAAACATCTTCACTTCCAACAAGACTGCAAGCAACCACTAATTAGTGTTGGAAGTTACTGGAAGAGAAAAGATAAAGATTATAGAGCAAGATAGATAGACAGACGACAAAAAGCAAGATGAAATTCCAAAGAACTGATGTTCAAGGGAAAAAGCTAGACGAATAAGAGTTTTTGGAGCACTTAGAAAAAGTAACAGAAAAAGAATGAGATTTAATTGAATGACGAGTAACATGAGAAGGAAATTTAGTAGGTGGCACAAGAGACGGTAGCTCTTTAGAGCATTTTACTTACACATTACTTAATCACATTTACTTACTTAATCACATTTACTAACACATTACTTAATCACATTTACTTACGCGCCACATATAGCTTGTATCAAGATCGTCTTTTGGAGCATCTAAAGGAATTTTAATTCCTTGATATGGTCCAAAGATTATATCAACATCAAAATTTTGAGTAGCAAATACTCCAAGACCAGCATTTGGTATAAGACTTTTTTTAATTTCCATGCCTTCTGGAGGAGTAAGAACTAAAGTCTTTTCAACATGATTTTCTGAATCATCTGTAAATTAAAGAAATAAGTATTATATAAGCTAAAACAAAATATACATAACCAAATTTTTAAATTAAAATTTTAAAAGATTTAATGTCTAAAATTTAATTAGTCAAGTTAATTAATAAATTAAAATTTAAAAAAATAAACAAAAGTAATTAAAAAATTTAAAAAAAGATTTAAAAATCATTTTTACATAAATGGTTTTCACCTTCATCTTCAGTATAAACACTTTTATAGTTTTTTCTTGCATCTGTTTCTGTTTTTTTGTTTCCTTTTTTTTTATTCGTTTTTGCGTTTTTGTTAATATTTGGAGCATTAACCTCCTTGTAAATCATTTTTTTCCTTCTGTTTAGGTACACTTTACTTCGTAGTTCTTAAAATAAGAATTATTATAAAACATTTAATCAACTGATTTTAACCATACTTTCGAAAAAGGTTTTAATAGAGATGTTACTTATCATACTTACTAAAGTGACTTAATACAGAAATATACAGAAAATTTAAATAAATACAGAAAACTTTACGAAACTCTTAGCTGAAGCACCGAATAATTGGTGACACTTAGTACACTTCATGGAAAACAGGTTCCAACTTGCATCAGTAAAGTGCATACTACAACTACACAACAGACATTTTGTGTAGGTCATTTAATATTACATCAAATTGTTACTTATAGTGTATATAGTATAGTGTATATACTTATATTTCTTACATGTAAGATATGAACATTATAAGTAACAAATGGGTTTTTATAGTTAATAAAGTTAAAATACCTGGGAAAGAAAGAAACGCTAAATTTATTGAAAATGAGATCTTCACTGCAATCTGAACTTAAAGTGTCATTCAATTTTAATGAAAATGAAAAATATCTAGTTGCCAATTTTTGTAACCCACGTTTTAAAAACTAGTTTTTAGGTTTAGTGAAAAAAGCAAAGCAAATAACTATCATTAAAAAATCTCTGAGAAATAGATGTTATAAGTTTAGTAGCAACAGCAATAATTCATCTTCCCTTTAGAAAAAAATGACAAACATTCATGGCATCTCTAGTTTTAACAAAAATAAATTCAAATTAAACAATGCTTTTATTAAATGACATAACTATAAAAAATTAAAAATGACATAACTATAAAAAAATTTTTACCCAATATAATTTAATTTACAACTCATGCTAAGTTTTTCGACTGCAATTAACAAAGGCTAGAAAATACTAAAACACAATAAAACTGTTCTTTGATAGTCAATATATTCAAAAGTTAATGCAAAGTTTTTAGGTCGCTTGTCACTCTTTTGTTATATTTTAAGAACAATTATTAAATCTTATTTTTATAAATTTTATTTCACATTCAACATAACGATAAAAATTCTTTTCAATAATGTTATACATATTAAAACACATTTCTTAAGAAGAATCATAAATTCAACATATTTTCAAATAAGTTGTTTAACATAGTTTTTTAAAAACTTGAACACAGATAGCTATTTTACTATGTTACCTGTGACATTTATCATCAACCTTATCAGATTATTGTTATACCATATATAACAATAAACAGATTATATTTAGCTGCAAATAAATTTTTACTTAAGATACGTCAGGCCTTGTTAATTAATTTTGTTATTTAACAGAAAAGAATAGCGCAAGTAAAATTAAAGTATATTTAAAATTAAGTTTATTCAAAGTAAAATATGTATATTGAGTAAAATGTAACTTTACCCAATATACATATTTATTGTATATAAGTTAAATTACTTCAGTCAAGCCTTTCCAGGAGAAGTATACAGTTTTTTTTTTTTTTTTTTTTTTTTTTTTTTTTTTTTTTTTTTTTTAACATCTTCACTTCCAACAAGGCTGCAAGCAACCACTATAAGAGTTGGAAGTTACTGGAAGAGAAAAGACTAAATCTGTAGAGCAAGATGACGATTGACTGATGACTTAAAAGATTGCAAATTATATGAATCAGGAAAGCAAGATGAAGGAAGCGAATTCCAAAGAACTGATGTTCGAGGAAAAAAACTAGAAGAATAAGAGTTTTTGAAGCACTTAGGAACAGTCACAGAAAAAGGATGAGACTTAATTGAATGGGGAGTAACACGAGAATGAATTTTAGTAGATGGCACAAGGGACGCTAGCTCTTTAGAGCAGTGCCCATTATAGTATTTGTAGAAAAGAGAAAGAGAAGCAACATTATGACGATGTGACAAAGGTTGGAGATTGGCTGCCAGAGCAGGTCCAACTATGTTTACAATTCGTTTTTGCACCTTGTCTAAAAGAGAAAGAGCATCATTAAAAGATCCGCCCCAGATGTGGCAACAGTATTCCATAGAGGGACGGATTTGAGATTTATAGAGATAGAGAATAGAATCTGGAGTAAGAAAGTGTTGAGCTCGATAAAGAGATGCAACCTTAGCAGATGCTAATTTTGCAATGGATTTGATATACGGTTTAAAAGAAAGATCAGAAGTAAGAGTTAATCCTAGAAGATGAATGGTAGATGACTCATCTAGTACATTACCATTCAAAAATATAGGAAGATCTAAATTATTACGATAACGATTGGCCAAATAAAATTGAGTTTTATCTGAATTAAAGTTCACCAGCCACTGTGAGCCCCATGCTGTAGCAGAAGTGAGATCCTTTTCAAGCTCAGATACCCCCTCCAAGCAATCAGAGAGTGTAGGCTTCTTATCATGACAAGAGTAAATGGTAGTGTCGTCAGCGAATAATGCCACCTTAGATGTGAGAATATCTGGAAGATCGTTAATGTAAATTAAAAAGAGTATAGGGCCAAGGATTGAACCTTGAGGAACCCCTGAAGTTACAGGACGTGAAGAAGAGTGTTGTCCATCGAGGACAACTTTTATACTACAATTGGAAAGAAAGAATTCAATAATCTTAAAGATGTTACCAGCTACACCATAAGAAGAAAGCTTATGGAGAAGACCAGCATGCCAAACTTTATCAAAAGCTTTAGAAATGTCAAGTGCGATAGCCTTAACCTCTCCACCTCTATCTAATGCACGGTAAAACCTATTGGTTATTACTGTTAGCACATCAGCTGTAGAACGAGAAGACCGAAATCCATATTGGTGATCAGAAAGTAAGTTATTTGATTCAAGATGAGAGATTAAGTGTTTGTTGATTAAAGATTCAAAAACCTTGCTTATGACAGGAAGAAGACTAATGGGACGGTAGTTAGATGAATCAGATCGCTCTCCAGAATTTTTGAAAATAGGGATAACAGATGCTGCTTTCCAGCATGATGGAAAACAAGACTCTGATAAGCACTTGTTAAATAGTTTTGAAAGTATGGATGAAAGCTCCGGAGAACACCTCTGCAAGACTACAACAGGAACGTTGTCAGGACCACAAGCTGTTGAAGAGTCTAAGCAGGAAATTACTTTTGATACAGAAGCTGAAGTGATGCGAATGTCAAGCAAGGGATCAACCTGTTTGACAGCTATGTCAGGTAAAACGCAACTAGTGGAATCGAGAGATGATATTGATGAAAAGTTCTTAGCAAACAATTCAGCTTTGTCTTTAGGTGAGGTGACAAAGTCTGAACCATACAAGAGAGAAGGAATAACAGATTTGCCCTTATTATTGATACTGTTAAAGATTCTCCAGAAGTCTCGAGAGCCTAATTTTTGTGATGAGATACGAGATTTAATGACCTGAGAATAGCGAGCTTTGGCGTCAGACAAAACCTTTTTACAATGGTTTCTGGCGATAGTGAACAGATGTCTGTTTTCTGGAGAATTGTTTTGCTGATAGATATGGAAGTAACGGTTTCGATTAGAAATTGCTGCAGCGCAATGTGAGGAAAACCAAGGAGAAGAGTGAGGCTTGACCTGGAATTGTCGAGAGGGAATAAAAGATTCCATGCCAGCCTGAATCCACGAAGTTATGTAAGAAGCACATTTGTCAGCAGGAAGACGAAAGATTTCTACCCAAGGGCCATCACGAAGAAAATCACGGAAAGAGTCCCAGTCAGCTTTAAGGTAGTTGTATGTGGTACGATGATAGGGGGATTCTGATGAAGTAGAAGAGTTTGATAATAGTTTTAGAGAGATCAAACCGTGATCAGAAGTACCTAAGGGTAAATGTGGAGAAATTGAGCACTGACTAGGATCCAAAACAAGACATAAGTCGAGTAGAGAAGGTAAATGATTAGGGTTGTCTGGAAAACGAGTTGGAAAGTTGACTATTTGAGTTAGAGATTGAGAAAGGCAAAAGTTGAGGGCCTTAACGCCAGCAGAGTCACTGACACTAGAGCCAAGCCAATCGGTGTGATGGGCATTAAAGTCACCAACAACGACGATATTGGCCGATGGATAAAGAGAGAGGGCTTGGTCAATTTGATCAGAAATAGCATCAAGAATAGTGCAATCTTGGGATGAAGGAGAGCGATATAGAACAAAGAGAAAGGCGATAGAGTGAAGTTGTGCTAAACGAAAGCACATAAATGAATAGTCTGTAGATTCAAACCTAGTTTCACGACAAATGGGTGAGTTCTTACAAATGTAGATGCCCAGGCCTGTGATTATTGGAGTCTTTACGAATTAAAGGAAGATAACCATCAACACTAAGATCACAAGATGGGACAGCCGAACTCAAATTAGTCTCACAAAGAGCAAGTAGGTCTGGTGAACTTTGCAAGAGATAAGACTCAACAGAAGAAAAGTTACTTCGAAGACCACGAATATTAGTAAATGATAGGTTTAGAGAACTTGGTGATGACGATGGTTTTTTGTGTTTTTTAGTTTTAGGTACTTTAGTCATTTTGAATTTATAAAGAACTTGACTCAAGTATAGATAGTACTCAGTACACTATTTAACAACTAAGCAATAGCCTTATTACTATTAATAAACCCTAAGCCGTAACAAAGGGCTCCAAATGTGGCCTCTGCAATGCACACCAAAAGTACAAACAGGGACACTATCCATGCGCAACATGGCACTGTTAGTACTCTGATATTTTTCGGCTGTTGATGGAATCAGCCTCTCTGAGAGCTACCACAGAGTTCGGGAAACCTGACTACCAGCCGGCCTCAGAACTATAAAACTGAGTTTTAGAGCTGTACCCTCATTAGGAGATAATAGAATGAGTTGCCCAGTCGTAAAAATAGAGACACAAGCAATACCCACGCATTGAGTCAAGAAGATCCAGCGTTCAACATCCTAAACTGGAAACAATGTATTAAAAATACATCTGTGCCAGCCTAATAGATGAGGAAGGGGTGCGAGGCTGGTCAACAGATAGAATCTGTTTACCCCTTAAGTCTTTGCCTAGGAGGCCTTCTACAAGACAGCAGCTGGATGCATGTAACATCTGCCCAAGATGAGTATTTTTATCGAGACACCATCTCTAGCC